TCACCTGACAAGAATCCTGCCCAACGCCCCTGTCAACTTCCAAGTCACCTGACAAGCGTCCTGCCCAACGCCTCCGGCAGCTGCCAAGTCACCTGACAAGAGTCCTGCCCAACGCCCCCGTCAGCTGCCAAGTCACCTAACAAGCGTCCTGCCCAACGCCTCTGTCAACTGCCAAGTCACCTGACAAGCGTCCTGCCCAACACCCCTGTCAACTGCCAAGTCACCTGACAAGCGTCCTGCCCAACGCCCCCGGCAGCTGCCAAGTCACCTGACAAGCGTCCTGCCCAACGCCCCGGGCAGCTGCCAAGTCACCTGACAAGTGTCCTGCCCATTAACGCCCCTGTCAACTTCCAAGTCACCTGACAAGCGTCCTGCCCAACGCCTCCGGCAGCTGCCAAGTTACCTGACAAGTGTCCTTGCCCTGAGTGCCGGCACAGATCATGTCGGCNGGCGTTTGTTACCACAGGAACCGACACCTTCAGGAGGACGCTGGAGGACGTGCCTTGGTCTGCCAGACATGAGACATGACAGACATGAGGAGCCTTGGTCTGCCAGACATGAGACATGAGGAGCTAGGACTGATGTACAGAAGAGACCCAACCATCCAAGTTGATGTACTCGTACTAATCTCACAACTCGCAGTACCAATAAGCTATGATCTTGCCTAAGTTGGCAGAGTTTAATCTGTTTTATTATTTTATTAGTCCACATTTAACCTGCCACATTAACACATGAAAGAAGTAAAGGTTAATCGTACGTACAACTCGTGGTCCCCCAGCCGGCGGTGACGGCGGTGGTGCCGGCGTAGGTGGATGCAGCTAACAACGCTGGCCACGAGGTATTAACATTACTTGTAGCGCCCCCAGGGTGGCTAGGGGGTGAATAATACTGTCAACAATACTGTCAACAACACGTCAACAATACTGTCAACACGTCAACAATACTGTCAACACGTCAACAATACTGTCAACACGTCAACAATACTGTCAACACGTCATATGGAACGAACTTGAGGAAACTGACTGGTGTGAAGAGTTTCACGAGATGAATGGAAATTTACAATAAACTATGTGAGAAACTAGCACATGTATGTGTGCGTCATACCCCGAGAAAAACGGGCCCCAAAGTCCCCAGCATTCCGAGAGACCGACGAATCCTAATGAGAAAACGTAAGCGATTACATAAACAAATAGCTGAATTCACTGGTGATATGAGAAGACAGAGGCTAGTATATTTACACAAGGTGGTAATTGAACTCAGGCTGCAGGACTCGCAAAAGATGGAACTGTCAGAGGACAATGTTGATACCATTCGTCCCTTGATATTTCCTGATTGATGTCTTCCTTGTTGAAAGATAAGATCCTTCACATGTGATATGTTCATGAGCATTTCCTTGTATTAGCCTTTCCTGTTTATCANCAGGGCTAATAGACGGAACACGTCCAACGTTACATCCGACGACGACTCGGAGACGGAGGACGACGAAGGCGGCGCATCAGCGTGACCGGGGACTAGGAAGTCCTAAACTCATCACAAGTTCAGTGATATTTAAGAAGGCGAGTCGTATCCAGCGACTCCTGCAGCCGTTGTATGATTGACAGCAGTCAGAGCTAATAAAACACAGCACACGCTGTCTCTTATACACATCTAGATGTGTATAAGAGACAGGGTGGACATTTCGAACAAGAGAACAGTGCCAATGGTCACACTCTTCAGAGCCTTAGTGCTCCCCAATCTTGAATACTGCTGTCAGCTATGGGCGCTGCTCAAGGTGGGTGCCTTGCGGAAACTGAAGGCAGTGCAACGGACCTTCACGTACAGGATCAGCGGCATGAGGGAGCTGGGCCTGAACTACTGGGAAAGGCTGAAACACTTGGGACTGTACTCACTGGAGAAGAGAAGAGAAAGGTATATCATACTGTACACTTGGAAGATTATAACCGGACTGGCTCCCAACTTTTAATATGAGACCTCCAAAAATTGTGACGCATGAACAACGAAAGGAGGGGGAGACTGAGCAGGATTTCCCCATTCAATAACCGAGCCGCGGCTAAAGTACAGACTCTTCGTGAGGGATCACTGTCCGTGCTGTTTAACGCCTCACCAAAGGTGCTGAGAGGAGAGGAGTTCACCCTTGCGACTTTCAAAAGAAAACGGGATAAGTTACTGTAGAAGATCCCGGATTGTCTAGTTATGGGAAACTACCCTCAGCAAGTGACAAGCAACAGTATCTTGCATCAGCTGGCACAAAGGAAGGTAAATATAAGGAACACGTCCAACGTTACACCCGGGACCCGAGGGCGGGGTGACCTGCATAGCGACGACTTGGAGACGGAGGACGACGAAGGCGGCGCATCAGCTTGACTTTGGACTACGAAGTCCTAAGCTCATCATACGGTCATACGGTCACGTCAACAAACCCGTGAAACCAGGATAGTTGTTGATCTGCAGGACTTGGCGGCGCAGGACATTAGCGCTGGCCACCGCCTCGTTCAGGACGCCCAGACGAACGTCCAGCGATAACGTCGCTGGGTTTCTGTGTTATATATAGGACGTGCACAGCATTTATTATATTGTATATCATAATATGTACATAAATGTTAATATCATATACACTCACACATACATGTTCTTATATGTCGTGTCCAGCATTTGTTTTATTGTACAATATGTACATAAATGTTCATGCCATATACGCACATACATTACACCAACACAACAAATCTGTTCCATCACAAAAGAGCCCGTGGGGCCCCACACTTGACACACTAGCAGCACACTTGACCCACTCGAAGCAGTGTGCCGCAGACAGCACCCAGCGGGAGTTGATGAGCGCCCCCCCGCAGAAGCTGTCGTCCTGCCCCCGCTGCACGACCCCCGCCATCCAGGGGAACTCTCCACCCAATGCCGCCGTGCCCCCCACGATGCGGCTGGGGGTAGACAGCCCGCATTCTGACAGCGGAGGGGGGGGGACATTGTAGACAAACTATTTTATAGGGAGATATTGTACGCAAACTATTTTGTAGAGAGACATTGTACGCAAACAATTTTTTAGGGAGATATTGTACGCAACTATTTTTTAGGGAGACATTGTACGCAAACAATTTTATAGGGAGATATTGTATGCAAACTATTTTATAGGGAGATATTGTACGCAAACTATTTTATAGGGAGACATTGTACGCAAACTATTTTATAGGGAGACATTGAACACGAACAATTTTATAGGGAGATATTATACGCAAACTATTTTATAGGAAGACATTGGGCGCAAACTATTTTATAGGGAGACATTGTACTCAAACTATTTTATAGGGAGACCTTGAATGCAAACAATTTTATAGGAGGACATTGTACGCAAACTATTTCATAGAGAGACATTGTACGCAAACTATTTTATAGGAAGAAATTGTATGCAAACTATTTTACAGGGGGACATTGCATACTATTTTATACTGTGAGATGGACATTGTACGCAAAAAAATTTATGCAGTGAGATGGACATGGTACTCAAACTATTTATACTTTTAGTAGCACATGTAGTCTGATAGTAGCATGTGTAGTCTGATTGTAGCAGATGCAGCCTGATAGTAGCAGATGTAGGATGATAGTAGCGGATGTAGCCGGATAGTAGCAGATGTAGCCGGATAGTAGCAGATGTAGCCGGATAGTAGCAGATGTAGCCGGATAGTAGCAGATGTAGCCGGATAGTAGCAGATGAAGTCTGATGGTAGCAGACGTAGCCGGATAGTGGCAGATGCAGGCTGATGGTAGCAGATGTAACCGGGCCGGATAGTAGCAGATGTAGCCGGATAGTGGCAGATGTAGCCGGATAGTAGCAGATGAAGTCTGATAGTAGCAAATGCAGCCGGATGGTTGCAGATGAGTCGGCGCTATAACAGGATATTCTAGCGGTTAGAATCAAAATGGTCGTATTCGCCTCGGGTAGACTTGAATGTGGCCTTCATTTCAATTCACGTCTACAACAGGTAATGAGAGACCTCATGGCCTTGTCTACCGAGATACTCATCATCCGAGCACTCCTCTTGTTGGCGGAACCATAATGTTTCAGTCCCGTAGATTTTTATTACCGCTAATCCTCGCTTGATGCAATTAAATAAAACATGTTATTTGGACTTGCGATGCCGCTACTTCTCGCTTGAGACGCTTAGTGTGACAGTGCAAAATATTACGACTGGACTAGTGGTTGAGAAAGATCCCGGATTGTCCAGTAATGGGGAACCACGTTCAGCAAGTGACAAGCAACAGCATCTTGCATCAGCTGGTCCAAAGGAGGGCAAATAGACGGAACATGTCCAACGTTGCATCCGGGACCAGAGGGCGGGGTGACATGCCTAGCAACGACTCGGAGACGGAGGACGACGAAGGCGGCGCATCAGCGTGACCGGGGACTAGGAAGTCCTAAACTCATCACAAGTTCAGTGATATTTAAGAAGGCGAGTCGTATCCAGCGACTCCTGCAGCCGTTGTATGATTGACAGCAGTCAGAGCTAATAAAACACAGCACACGCGACTTACTGCAGGCTGCGTCAGCAGAAGACAGCACACACGACTTACCGCAGGCCGCGTCAACTGAAGACAGCACACACGACATACCGCAGGCTGCGTCAGCTGAAGACAGCACACGCGACTTACTACAGGCTGCCTCAGCTGAAGACAGCACACGCGACTTACTACAGGCCGCGTCAGCTGAAGACAGCACACACGACATACCGCAGGCTGCGTCAGCTGAAGACAGCACACGCGACTTACTGCAGGCTGTGTCAGCTGAAGACAGCACACGCGACTTACTGCAGGCTGCCTCAGCTGTCGACTTACTGCAGGCTGCGTCAGCTGAAGACAGCACACGCGACTTACTGCAGGCTGCGTCAGCTGAAGACAGCACACGCGACTTACTGCAGGCTGAGTCAGCTGAAGACAGCACACGCGACTTACTACAGACTGCGTCAGCTGAAGACAGCACACGCGACTTACTGCAGGCTGCGTAAGTTGAAGACAGTACACACGACTTACTGCAGGCTGCGTCAGCTGACGATAGTATGCACCACTTAGTGCAGGCTGTGTAAGTTGGAATCATTACTCATAACTCACTGCACGTAGAATCCATCGTTATGGCTGTTACTGTACACGAGAAGCCAGCCGCACTGAAGATAAAGTCATTCCTGAAGCCAACAGTCAGAGTGCCTGACGAGACTGTCCTCTCTACAGTCAAGGGGCTGAAGCACAGAAAGCACCCGATCCTGGGGACAAGAGGACTTTTGACTTCTTTTCTTATAACCTTCATTGCAAAGCTTTCAATTATACCTTGGCTGATTGATGATTAACCTTAATCGGTAGCGGCTGATGAGCCCCAAACGACGCTCAAGTCAAAGAGAGAGACGAATCTTCATGAAAAAAACGCAAGAGGTTAAACAAGCAGACAGCGGCTGCCTCCAGGAAAATGGAAAGGCGGAGGCTAGTGCGTCAGAATGAGGAAATTGAACGAAAACTGCAGGCTTCACACGAGGCTGAGCAACAGACAGCAGAGGCGCGAGCGGTGGCTGACATTCGGGAGAATTCCAAATATTTCTACAAATATGCCTAGTCAAACGCCAAAATTAGGGCCTCTGAAAATTAATAGTGTCCTCATTGAAGACGACCGGGGCATGTGCGAACTGCTATGAGCGTGGTTTGAGGAAAGGTTCAACTGCATATGTTACCCAATACAAAAAAAATGAATTTTAAATCCCACAGAAACTGACAGGGAAAATAGTGTTCGTGAGATCGAACCAGCAAATCTACTGAGTAGGATTCATGAATGAACTAACTGAAATTTTCCATGAGGTCCCTACACTGTAGCTGAAAAAGTGTGCCAGAGTACTATATTGGTGCTCCACCACTGACTTAGCTGTGTAAAGGTAGAATAACTCTAATTTCCAAAGGAAGTGCAAGAAACAAACCCCAAAATTAAAGGGCGGCGACATCAACATTACATGTAATTAAAGTGATTGAGAAGGTCGTTGCCATGAGGCACTGCACTAGAGCTTGACATTTTCAACGGACGAAAACATGGTTTTCGGATAAATCGCTACTGCTTGTCCCAGTTACTGGAGCATCAACACCGAATCCTGAGCGAACCGAAGTAAAGGGCTGCGTGGACGCGTGTATTCCGACATAGTGTGCAAACAACTGGGGTCAAAATAAAGTTTTTTTGCGGATCCACAACTTCCTAACCGACCGGCTATAAGCTGTCGTTAGAAGCTTGAGGTCAAGTAAGGTGAGGGTGAAAAGCAGAATAGCACAGGGAACGGAATTTGGCCATATATCCTCTTCCTCATCCACATCCACATCGTCGACAGATGTTGATGTGAGCCATGCCTCGATCGACATGGCTCATATCACCCCCACACATGGGCAAGGTGGATTTCAAGAGGATGCAAAAACCTGTCTTCAAGATACAACTGGACACAAGTGAACAACATGCAATTAATGGAACGAACTTTGAGGATCTAAGAAATGCGGTGGTAGAGTAGACGGGTTGTAAAACTACAATCTTGGACCTGACGGCGCATAATCGGTGAGAAGCAAATTGTATGCGATCTCGGACTGTAGATGTGTACCCAAGTCAAGTTTGGTGACCACATAGCAGCAAATACTGCAAGAAGCAGGCGACAGATGGGGTGGATCTTGCGGACGTTCATAAAAAGAGAAGCTGAACCGATGATCACACCACTCTTCAAAACTTTTGTGATCTCTCTCGTTAAGTACTGCTGCCAGCTCTGGACCCCTTTCATGGTTGGCGCAGAGCGGCAATTGGAGGCGGGTCAGCGATCCTTCAAGTTCAGGATCAGCAGGATGGAGGAGATGAGTTACTGGGGCAGGTTGAGAAGCTCCTACTTTCTGAAGCTGCTTATCGCCTACTATTTTCCTACATGATGGAGCTACTGCCGCTCTCTTACAATCCTAATAGCTGGAGCTGCTGCCGATCTCTGCTACTCCGTCTTGCTGGAGCTGTTGCCTACTACTACTCCTAAACTTGATTGAGATGCTGCCTACTACTACTACTTGATAGAGCTGATACCTACTATAACTTCTACTTGCTGGAGCTGCTACCGCCTCTTTCAATCCTATACTAGATGGAGCTGCTGCCGATCTCTTCTACTCCTACTTACTGGAGCTGCTGCCTATTTCTACTCGTACTTGCTGGAGCTGCCGCCCTCCGTGACGACGAGGTAGGAGAACCAGCTGAGGCTCACTCTGGGGCACGACAGGCGAAGCACAGCGGGCGCCACCGCCTGCAGCACGAGTGTCAGTGAGCGACTAATTGGCAGACTGATATGAACAATAGAGTGATGATGTGGGGCGAAATAAGCAATAATATATAGCAATAAAGACAACAATATAAAGCAAAAATATAGAGTAATATAGTTCACCTGGAAGGACCAGTCGCAGCGAGAGAAGGCGGGGAAGTTGCCGGGGTAGGAGGGGGAGGTGAGGGTATACGTTACACCCTCACCCACCGTCGTGGGGGAACTCGGGGCACTCGAGCTGCATGGTAGCGTGGTAGCTGTGTTGAAACGAATGTGTTGATCAACATTACAACATAGTGGTACCTAACTAATGTTAATTGGTTAACATTATAACATAGTGGTACCTAACTAATGTTAATTGATCAACATTACAACATAGTGGTGCCTAACTAATGTTAATTGATCAACATTATAACATAGTGGTACCTAACTGATGTTAATTGATCAACATTACAACATAGTGTTACCTAACTAATGTTAATTGGTTAACATAACAACATAGTGTTACCTAACTAATGTTAATTGATCAACATTATAACATAGTGGTACCTGACTAATGTTAATTGGTTAACATTATAACATAATGCCAACTAACTAATGTTGTTAATTGGTCAACATCGCAACATAATGCCACCTTATTAAATGTTGGTAATTGATTAACATAATATGGAGTCTGTCTGTATAACACTGTAGTACTGTAACACTGTAACAATGTAGTATTAAAACACTGTAACACTGCAGTACTGTAACACTGTAACAATGTAGTATTAAAACACTGTAACACTGTTGTACTGTAACTAGTCTGTCTGTATAACACTGTAGTACTGTAACACTGTGGTACTGTAACACTGTAGTGCTGTAACACTGTAACACGGTAACACTGCAGTACTGTAACACTGCAGTACTGTAACACTGCAGTACTGTAACACTGTAACGCTGCAACCCTCACCTCGGGCAGACGCCGGCATGTCGCCTTCAGCCTGCAGGGAAAGTAAGGAAACAAATTAAACCCTCTTACTATATCCTCACTACATCTATATTACCTATATTACATCTTTACTGCAGTGGTGGATATAAGATTAACAGTTGTAACATATAACATGGGTGCGATTGCATTGATATAAATTAGCTTACCTGCACCACCGCCGCCATCACCATGACGACCAGGGACATCCGGGACACTGATAACGCGGCCATATTCTGGGACCTGCAGGGCGGGGCACAGATATTCATTTGATTATGTTCTCTGCATTATCCTTAGTATCCTTAGTATCCTTAGTATCCTTAGCATCCCTAGTATCCTTAGTATCCTTAGTATCCTTAGCATCCTTAGTATCCTTAGCATCCTTAGTTTCCTTAATATCCTTAGCATCCTTAGTATCCTAGTATCCATAGTATCCTTAGTATCCCTTATGCATCATATCGTTATGTATACAAAATTATTCGTATCATTAATGACCGAAATTTTCGGAAAATGTCGAAGCCGTTCGGGTAGGTATATATCATTGGATGATTGGGACCATGACACTGAGAAACAGTAACACTGAGGGACCGTGACACTGAGGAACCGTGACACTGTGGGACCGTAACACTGATGAACCGTGACACTGAGGGACCGTGACACTGAGGAACCGTGACACTGCATGTGGGACCGTAACACTGATGAACCGTGACACTGAGGGACCGTGACACTGAGGAACCGTGACACTGTGGGACCGTAACACTGACTGTCTCTTATACACATCTAGATGTGTATAAGAGACAGATACAAAAATGTTCGTGAAACATACAAAAATTTCGTGACCCATGCAAATAGTTCGTGACCCACATCTACAAATCTCGACATCCGGTATGCAGATCGTATTTCATGCCAATGAACGCAATGAACCCGTGCTGGCCCATAAGCTCTGGCGATATGTCAGTGTGTCGTGCGATGTCCAATGACTGAAAGCCAGCACTGAAAGTCTGATAATGCAACGTTCATTGANTGGCAACACAAGACCGCTGAAAAAATGCCAACGTGAGACCGCTGAACAAATGGCAACACGAGACCGCTGAATAAATGGCAACACAAGACCGCTGAACAAACGGCAACGCAAGACCGCTGAAAATACGGCAACACGAGACAGCTGAACAAATGGCAACACAAAACCGATTAACAATGGCAACACAAGACCGCTGAACAAATGGCTACACGAGACCGCTGAACAGATGGCAACACAAGACCGCTGAACAAATGGCAAAACGAAACCGCTGAACAAATGGCAACACGAGACCGCTGAACAAATGGCAACACGAGACCGCTAAACAAATGGCAACACGAAACCGCTTAACAAATGGCAACACGAGACCGAAGAACGAATGGCAACACTAGATCGCTGAATAAATGGCAACATGAGAACGCTGAACAAATGGCGTCACGAGACCGCTGAATAAATGGCAACATGAGACCGCTTAACAAATGGCAACACGAGACCGAAGAACGAATGGCAACACTAGATCGCTGAATAAATGGCAACATGAGACCGCTGAACAAATGGCGTCACGAGACCGCTGAAAAAATGGCAACACATGACCGCTGAATAAATGGCAACATGAAACCGCTGAACAATTGGCAACACGAGACCGCTGAACAATTGGCAACACAAGACCGCTGAACAAAGGGCAATACGAGACCGCTGAACAAATGGCAACACAAGACCGCTGAACAAATGCCAACACGAGACCGGTGAACAAATGGCAACACGAGACCGCTGAACAAATGGCAACACAAGACTGCAGAAAAAATAACAACACGAGACCGCTGAACAAATGGCAACGCAAAACCGCTGAACAAATAGCAACACGAGACCGCTGAACAAATGGCAACACAAGACCGCTGAACAAATGGCAAAACGAGACCACTGAACAAATGGACACGCGTGTCCGCTGAACAAATGGCAACACGAGACCGCTAAGTAAATGGCAACACGAGACCGCTGAAAAAATGCCAACGCGAGACCGCTGAATAAATGGCAACACGAGACCGCTGAAAAAAATGCCAACACGAGACCGCTGAAAAAATACCAACGCAAGACTGCTGAAAAAATGGCAACACGAGACAACTGAACAAATGGCAACACAAGACCGCTGAACAAATGGCAACACGCGACCGCTGAACAAATGGACACGCGTGACCGCTGAACAAATGGCAACACGAGACCGCTGAATAAATGGCAACACGAGACCGCTGAACAAATGGCAACGCAAGACCGCTTAACAAATGGCAACACGAAACCGCTGAACAAATGGCAACACGAGACCGATGAACGAATGGCCACACGAGATCGCTGAACAAATGGCAATACGAGACCGCTGAACAAATTGAAAAGTCCAAAAGATAACCTCCGTATTATAATGTACCAAGAAGAAAATGACGCAAAAGTGCGGAACACATGAAAGAAATGAACACTGGACGTGTTCACCCGCCGGCAACAGTGGACGTCTTCACCCGCCGGCAACAGTGGCCGTGTTCACCCGCCGTGAGCACTGGCCGTGTTCACCCGCCGGCAGCAGTGGACGCGTTCACCCGTCGTTAGTACTGGCCGTGTTCACCCGTCGTGAGCACTGGCAGGTGAACAATGAGCAACTGACGCGGTGAGCATATGAACATGCGCGGTTTTAAGCGCGGAACAAAGAGCCGCGACCGCAGCTGTTGAACACCGAACACTTGTGCACAGCAACATTATTACCTCAATGCGGGGAATATACAGGTGGAGAGGCGCCTGGTGGAGAGGCGCCTGGTGGAGAGGCGCCTGGTGGAGAGGCGCCTGGTGGAGAGGCGCCTGGTGGAGAGGCGCCTGGTGGAGAGGCGCCTGGTGGAGAGGCGCCTGGTGGAGAGGCGCCTGGTGGAGAGGCGCCTGGTGGAGAGGCGCCTGGTGGAGAGGCGCCTGGTGGAGAGGCGCCTGGTGGAGAGGCGCCTGGTGGAGAGGCGCCTGGTGGAGAGGCGCCTGGTGGAGAGGCGCCTGGTGGAGAGGCGCCTGGTGGAGAGGCGCCTGGTGGAGAGGCGCCTGGTGGAGAGGCGCCTGGTGGAGAGGCGCCTGGTGGAGAGGCGCCTGGTGGAGAGGCGCCTGGTGGAGAGGCGCCTGGTGGANATTTTTTGATTTGCCACCTCAAGGCATCAGGTTTAGTTTCTAGTTATGCGTATTTATGACCACTTTTCGAGTTATTGACTCTTGCCTTGCCAAAAGTTGATTTCAGTCAACACCAATGAGCCAAAAGTTGATGAGAGTTTTTATGGTGTTGGCTGAAATCACGATTAGGTACGAATTCTCCGCACATAATATCTGGATTATGGACGAAACTGGAACGAAGTTTTTTTCTGATCAACTAAATATATTTTTTCTAGTCAAGGAAACATTTTTTCACGTCAAGGACGAATTTTTTATCGCAAAAATATATTTTTCAAGTCAAGGATATTTATTTTTATGTCAATAAAATATTTTTCTTCACGTCAGTGATAGATTTTTTAAGCCAAGAGTATATTTTTTTCAAGTTAAGGATATGGTTTTTTGAGTTGTTAATAGATGAATGAATGTCACATTTTTATTATATTTTTTTTTATTTTTAACAGTAAAGTGTTGTTTCATCATTTTCAAACGAAACATATGCAATTGTGGTAAAGGGGCCAAGGGTGGGTGCCTTGCCCCAAGCCCATGGGCCCATTGCCCCAGGGGTGGGCAATAGGCCCATTTTGACACTCTTTACAAAATAGTGTTTCATTAAAAATTTAATAACTCTATAGGCGTCTAATTCACATAATACATTCCTCATTAGTTGTACCTTTAAACAGAACAAAGAACCACCTCGTATTAATTAAAACTTCATCAAAAATTTAGTTTAAAAAAATGGGGGGGGGGCGCTGCCCGAAGTTGCCCTATATAGTATATAGTATACATAGTATATTGCATATAGGATATAGTATATAGTATATACTTTATAGTATATAGTATAGTATATGCTAGTGTCAGCGTTGAGGAATAGTCCAAAATTGGCCTGTTGCCGATTATTGTTCATTTCGTGACTTGTTCACAGGAGATATAAAAACTGGCCTTTTGGTGACATTGTGTTATAAACTGACGTTGAATTTATTAGCTACTGGACTTTTATCAGGTCTGTGGGGTAATAGGAATTTTATAACTGATAGATACTTCTGCCTGGCTTCATCTAGTGACTAGATGAAGATTCTAGTTTTCGTATGACTAGATTCTAGTCCGTTCATACTCTTAACGTCATAGATGTATTCGGGGAGACTGTTCCACATGTCGGTGACTCGGAGCAAGAAGTGTTGTCGCGAACATGAGCTGTACTGCAGGTTTTTTTTTAGTCGATAACCGTGGCCCCTGTAGTTGGTTTTTGTCTCATGCGTATTCTAGTAATCCTTCGGGAATCATGTATAACACATGGGTATACATGTATACTTATATAAGGCAACCAAGCGATATCGATAACAACAATTGGGAAGCTTCATAATCGCTAATATTTCTGCATAATGCTTTCCCTTCAGGCCTGTAATTATCCATTTTCTACGTATTTTAACAGTCGAGACTAAACTTTTGTCCTTTTCATATATCCAATATGCTGATAACGATTAAAAATCCCAAGTTATACATTAGCTGAACTTAAAAACACAATTGGCAAATTTTGTGAGAGAATTGGAAGATTTCACTGTTTTTTTTAGTGACACCGAATGCCTGTGATTGAAAATATCTGCAATGACGGAACCGTAATGTTTTTAGCAACAAGTTTGAGTGCTCAGCGCGGATTCCGGTTTGAGCTGCGGGCGACGGCGGACGTTGGTAAGTGACTTCGCCTTTACCTTAAGATCTGATTACTTGATAATTGTTTTGAAACTTTTCCTTTCTTTATATGCAAGAATTCCTTGACATAAATCAATAGGACTCTAAGCTAATTTTGAGTATGTCGCGCCGGCCCCATAAGTGGCGCAGGGGGCCATGGTCAGCCTGTCAGGAAGATGTGCCAGGTGCGCGGGAATTTATATTGTCATTTTAACGACCTGCGCGGTGCGCCGTACTATGCCGGTAAAAAAAATTCGCCGTGCGCCGACAGCGCCGTACTTTTAGAAAGCTAAAATAGTTTAAATATGGATGCGCGGCAATGCAAATTACGTAATCACACTG